AATCATGTGCTACCGATCAGATGTGGCGTGTTGTGGCTAAGCCAGCTAAACGGCTTGCCTTGCTTTAAGGAACCCCCGGTTATGGCAAATCCACCTCGACAAATTTTTACTAACACTAATAGACTGCATGTCTATATCGATATAAACGAATGTATAATAAAATCATTTCAAAAAATGCACCCAACTGGATTCGACAGCCAACTAAAACTAACACGTCGAATTTATCACTACTACTATCACCACTACATAAATCAAAGACCCGCAATTTTATCATTTTGTCACGAAGAGAACGCCAGCAAAAACCGAATACAAACACTTTTATCGTAGTTCGTGGAGTTGGAACCTTTGCAAGAAAATCGCAATTCACAGAAAAATTAGCAAATGGACCCTCTTTTTCAGATTTTATCATAGCTTCTTCTAAACCACAAGAATTCTCGAGCGTTGAGGAGTCGTTGGCACTGACAACTACAACAAAAATCATACCCGACAAAAAGCCGTAAGCATTATTCTCGGATTTTTAATTTGATTCGTGATTCATGTTCTCTTTTTTTTATTCATAGGTACACAAAAGAATTCTAATACTTTAGGCGAAAAAAAGACCAAGACTGTTATTTATATTTTGATCCTTGCATTTGAAATCTAATAGATATCAACGGCTGCCGGAATGGCTAAAAACCAAAGTTCCAATCGGCGCAAATTATAAACGAATAAAGAACGATTTACGTGGACTAAATTTACATACTGTACGAAGATTCCCATTTATTAACTATCATAATAATTAATAATAACATTATTTTACTATATATACATAAAAGGTATGCGAAGAGGCCCATTGTCCCAACATTGGCGATTGCTGGGGTGGCGGTGAGCACCAAACTGCTACCGCTACAATAATGTTAATGGGCGATGAGTGTACACGCGGATGTCGTTTCTGCTCGGTGAAGACGAGTAGGACGCCGCAGCCACTTGATCTTAATGAGCCTGAAAATGTCGCAAATGCGATTGCTAGCTGGGGGTTGGATTATATTGTGTTGACATCTGTGGATAGAGATGGTAATTTGATTATGAAATATTGATATTTTCATTGATTAGCCAGATGAATTTGTCTTCTGTTAAATTTACAATTTTTCTTTTTCCGATAAGATTTGCTCGATGGAGGATCAAATCATTTTGCGAAGACAATACAACTACTTAAACAAAAGTGAGCTATTTATTCACTTTCTCGAGAATTCTAAGAATAAAACAAATTTGTTATATCCAAATAAATTACAAAATTACCAAGGGCTCCCAAAATAATGATCGAATGCCTGACCGGAGATTTCCAGGGCAAACTAGACGACGTCACCCGGGTCGCGTTATCAGGTCTGGACGTCTACGCGCACAACGTGGAAACAGTCGAAGCATTAACGCCGTTTGTTCGCGATCGCCGTGCCACTTTTCGACAAAGCTTAAAAGTTTTGGAGCACGTGAAATTTGTCAACCCGAGTTTGGTGACGAAAACTAGTATCATGTTGGGTGTGGGCGAGACTGATGATGAAGTGTTGGCTACACTTCAAGGTAAAATTTAAAATCCGATTACTCGAATACTCGTAATAATAATGTCATTATTATCCAGGATATTTTCTAAAATTTTATTGCAATATATATATAAAACAATAATCAAACGGAATACACCAGAACTTCGTAAAATCGACGTTGATTGCGTCACAATAGGACAATACATGCGTCCGACAAAACGACACATGAAGGTCCACGAGTACGTGGCTCCCTCAAAATTCGATTACTGGGAGAAAATCGGGAACGAGTTGGGGTTCTTGTATACTGCGTCAGGGCCGTTAGTTCGTAGTAGTTATAAAGCGGGAGAGTTTTTCATTACAAACATTTTGAAGAAGCGGAGAGAACAGCAGCAACAATTACAAAAGGTTATTGATACGGAGCAGTCACTTGCTGATGATCATCAAAATGGATTAGTTGGATGATAATGAAATTAGAGGATATACATGTAGAGAATTTGAATCGGACTGTTTTTTTATTTTATTTACTGTAATTAGACATCTGGTTTTTTATTTGTATTTAATAGATTATAATTCACACGCACCACCTTACTCTTGAAACAATAATTTATTCATCTTTTTTATACCCTCTGAAAATAAGCTCCTTATTTCTGAGGCCGAAAAGCGTGTAAAAAAGGGTAGCTTGTTTTCGGTACTACAATTTTGTTATCAATAAAAGAATTAACTATTCCACTAGAGTTTAGTTATTTTACATATGGACCGTTACGTCATAATAAAGTTCACATTATTATGACTCACATAAATGATTGCTAAAAATATTCTTTATTCTTTAGAAATTCACCATGTATACCCGCCTTTACACGCGTACTTCACATGGTCGTCTTTTACCAGTCTCCTCGCCTCCTTTTTCTACCACTCAAAAACACAACTACAAGTACTTTTCTACAGGCATCCATCCTAAAAGCTGCTCAATTTTAAATAATAACGATAAAGAACAAATAGTCAAAGTATCTTCGACCACCCAAATTTCATCACACCAAAATGTCTCAAGTCGTGGCTTTCAAACAAACACCATCTGTACGTCGTTGCCGCGCACACACAGTTATAATCAACAAGTAATTAATATACTTGAATATGAAATAGGAAACTAAATTGGTTAATTAGCAGCATTACAAAAAACATCAAAATTATGTTACTGCCTTGACTCGACTCAATTACGTCGAACTTGCATATGAAATAATTCTTTTAACAGGATTTTTAGCATTATTCTCATTTTTCTCACATTAATTCATTTTAGTATTATCACATCCCTCGGAAACAGGAACTTTGGGCAATAAAACTTCACAACCTCCTGTTTTCGTCCACAATGATTCCAAACAAACACCTCAAGATAAACAAATCTATTACATAACACGGATGAAAACACACATTGCTCGCTCCCAAAAATCTAAACTAGCCTTGGAATTCATCAAGATGAACAACGACAAATCAATTCAATCACTTCAATTCTACAGCACTCTTTTACAATCATGTGTGAATGCAGCGAATCTCGATATCGCATTGTTCATAATCAAGCAAATGTACACTTCCTGGGAAACCAACGGAAATCCAGTCGCGCCCACAAAAGAAATATATAAAATATTATTAGAGGCAGTGCTCAATTCTAAAGATTACTATCTTTCGCTTTATATCGCAAAAGCGTTGATCAATCATCGTGTTCCTTTTCTGACTAAAGAACGGGAGACTACGGATGCCGCGATCCATAATTTGCCAATGTCGCATGTTGTGTGTGATCCGGAATTGTGGCAGTATATTTTACGAGCGATGACTTCTTCAAAGAAATTGTATTCATTTTGGGCGGTTTCATCGCCGTTTTCTACTAGGGAAAGGATCCCGGATTTTAAAGAGGTTGAAGAAATGGCAAGACAATTTTTGGAGACTACTCGGAGACCTTTTAGTATTGAAACATGGCGAGTAATAATTCGGGTGAGATACATAAAAATACATTTACAATAATATATTTATAGTTATTTGTGTTGATCTATGTAATAACAACAATCAATTTATTGTAAATTTTAGGGTATGGGTGCATATCAACGAGGTGGATCTGAATTTCTTGATTTTTTGCAGTTGGTTCGCACTGAAATTCCTATTAACCCAGAAATCGGGACAGAAATAATTTGGGCATTAGCGCGTAAAGGATTAGCAAGAGAAGCCTTAGGATACATCAATCAAGCGACATCAAAGTTTGGTCCGAGACCATTGAGTTCAAAAGAACCAATTTACGCGTTGGCGTCTCTCTGCGCAAATAAAGGCAACGTGAATCGCACAAAAGAGTTACTTTCCATGATGCACTTGTGGGTGAATGACTGGGCTCTCAAAAAGAAATGGGTCGAGTTGAGTAAGATTAAAATTACGATGCGGACTTATTTGCAAGCACTCGCGAATGAAGTCACGCTACACATGCACCCAGACAAAGATAAACGCGTAGTGAGCCGTTTCAGTACAGATCCGGATGATCCGGCGGCTAAAGGTGAGAGTTTGATTGATAGTCAATTCTACAAATCATGGAAAGATCTCTTGGCTAGGTTGTCCAATTTGGATACGAAAGATCGCGAAAATATCGATTTGATTATACAGTTTCAAGTGTTTGCCAATTTCTTGAACCATAAATCGTTTCCAATGAAAACAGCAATGGAAATGCTAAAAAACATGCGCGAAAAAGAAGTTTTACAACCCGAATTTAACACATTTAAAATTGTGCTCGAAGGATTCGCAAACTCGCCCGAATTCTCTATTCACAACGTGCAAAACCAAAACCAAAAACTACGTATTGAATACGCATTGGAAATATTCGAGATGATGAAATCGTATGGGTACGACGTTGACAGGCTAGACACTTTTCGTCCGTTGCTGCAAGCGTGTCTACCACCTTTCGAACGTAAAACTTCCAAGTATATTGAGTCATGGGGTCCACTTGTCGGCACCGAGAGTGATGTCGTTTGGAAGAAACCGCAAAAGCCAATTCCGAGAATTTTCGAAATTGAGAAAATGATTGATGATTCGAAATTACCGGTTGATTATGAGCTGATTAGCACATTGTTGGAACAATTAGGTTCGGCTGGTCTTTATAAGACCATGTGGAAACGGTGGAGTGATTTAGCGACAAGCGGAATTCGAAGACATGAAAAGTTATATGAGACTGTGTTTTATGCAGCAGCCATAGACTACAGTGAAGCACAATATGCCGTAAATGTGGTTCGATATCAAATGTCGAGGGAAGTACCACCCGTTACACCAACACTTGAGATCTATACAGCAATGTTACAATGTTGTGTGCGTATCGACGATACTTGTAACATCAATGAAATTTCTCAGACTATGCGAAAAATAATTGATAAAACACATAATCCACGCGTTCGATCAAAATGGTATGTCCCAATCGTCAATGCTTATTTGCATAATCCGGAATTAGTTCCACAAGGAAAACTACTAGTTTCACAATTATTAAGAAATGATGGACTGATCTGTTTTCCATTATGGAGAACACTAATGTATTACTATAATGATACGCACCTTGATCTAAAAAGTGCAAAAAAAACATTTGAAGCTTATGTGGATTGGCGTGAACGCAATAAAAAATTCTTGTTTGACTCTGAAAAACGTATTGGAATCAATGTGGCAACTACTACATCCAAAAGTTTATCTCCAGAGTTTTTCAATTCACAATCCTCATCCTCTTCAAAAACGTCAAATCTAAATATAAGATTTCCTTTAATTAAATTCCCATCTTCCCCACTCTACACCAAAGACACTCAAATCATAAACATCTACATACAAATAGCAATAAGATGCGGAAATTTTTCCCTTGCGCATCAGCTCTTAACCTCATATGTCTCACACTACGAACACCAACAAGCACAGAATATTGCATTTATAGACATCGAAACGTTAAAAGAGTTTGCGTATTTGGCCTGGAGAAAACAACAAATGAACGAAATGCAATGGCTATTGGAAAATGTGATGAGCAAACAATACAAGAATGATTCTTCGCTATTGGAAGAGAATAAAAAACGAGAATACGATGATTTATTTGAGTGGGTAACCAACCAATTAACAATAAAGAAGGTTGACAGTAATAACAATGACAATGACAATTTGGAAGCCCATAATCAACAGCAACAACAAAAGTCTCGGAATTTATCAAATAATAATAGTGTTCTTGACCAGCATTATCAGGAGGATGAAACAAAATCAATCTTTCAGAATTCAATGGTTTTTAAGCATTTGGATTATATGGCTCGACATTCTCCTTCATCATCATCATAGATTTGATATAGTATCGTCGCATTTTTTATTTCAAAATATAATTCTATTAGATGAGCGATACTATTAAATAAAAGGTATATGAAAATTTGCCTGGTTTAGTTGGAAAACTCAGTTTATTAATAGTTCTATGGCCGAAATTGCATTTATCTAAGAGGAGAGCCACAAATTATCGTTATGTGATTTGATATTGGGGTTCCACTAGTCCTAATTAATAACTTAATCAATTCAATCAAAATCCCACGGTGCCATTTACATTTCTATTTATAGATGAACCACAATTTGCACATTTAAAAATTTTCTTCCAACTTATTATTAGTTCATCCACATAACAAATATATATTTCCAAAATTTTCTTATCTTTAACATGAGACTTTCTAAATCTCGCATTTGTTCACACCAGTGTTGTCATTTAAAAAATATGGACTATTGGATCACTTGTTCATATTAAATATGGTTATATATCTAAATTGTTCATATTTTTTATATGGATATAATAATAAAATATGGACATAATTTTCAATTATTAATATAATTCAATTATAAAAAACAAAATATTTGATTTTATTAACTTATTTATTGCATATTAGCTAAATAAATTATAAGAAAATATATAAATATATATATATATATATATTTTATTTATTTTCAAGATATTAAGAAATATTGAATAATCTAAAGAATGAAATAACAACTTGATATTTCATTTTGCATTAGGATCATCTGCTAGATGAATATGATTCTGAACAAAATAATTTAATAAAAAATCTTCATTAATATCTGTTATTATATTTTTATTTTTAATAATATCTTTTTTCAATTGTTTATTATTACTTATTTTCATCCATTATTGAATTATCAAGTATCAATTAGCTGTTGAATCAATTTTTATTTTTTCTTTTTCATCATCAGAAATATCATTCATAAAAATATTAATATTTTGTTGGATTATTTTTGATTTCATTTGAAAAACAATTTGAGTATGATAATATTTTTGTTTGCCTTAATTAATTTGAGTATCATATATAACAAGTTTTATCATGAATTTGACTTATAGCTAGTATTATTTTAGACTAATAAATAGTTAGTATATTTTAAAATTAACAATAAAATTATATAAATTTTATCTTAAGCTTATTTTTTCGTTGTGATATAAAAAACTCATAGAAAAAAAATCTTTTACAAGAAATTAAATTAATACAAATTAAATAAATTTGTAAAGCTACTTTATATACAATCAAATCTCTTTATAGTTATCACCCTTGAAAAAGCAAAATTTAATAATTATAGAGAAAATATAACTATATAGAGATTTTTTTACTATATTTATAAATAAATGGAAAAGTAAAATAAAGTAATTATAGAGATATGTAACTATAAATGGGTATAATTATAAAGAGATTTGATTATATATCAGTTATATATATTGAAAGAAATTGTCAATATTACATTGAAATTATTTAAAAATATTTTGATTAAAAGAATAATTGACTTGATAAAATAATTCAAGTTCAAATAATAAATATGATGATTTTTTATTAAATCAAGTATAATAATAATAAAGTAATCATTGTTCAAGATTTGAATAAGCAAAATTAAATATATTTGATAAATTAATAATGTAAATATAAAATAAAAAAAGAATAAGCAATAGTTATTTCTAATTTTTTATCTTTTTTTAATTTTTGTAAGTATAATATTACAAAAAAATTCTTAAAGAACTTTAACAATTTATTCAATAGAATATAAATCTTTATAAAATCTCTTTGCAATTTATTGAGAATTTCACAAAAAGAAACAAGTAATATTTCAAGTTATTATAATTTTTTTATCATTTTATATTATTAATTATTTTAATAAGATTATATGAAAATTCAAGATCAAATAGATCAAAATTATTTTCTGATTTTACAATTAATGTCTAATATAAAATATAAAATATAAAATATAAAAGAATATAAATTTAATTAAAATATATTTTAAAATTGCTTAATTTTATAAAATATTGTTAATATAAAAAAATAACTATTTTATTTAGACTTACAAGATTTTTATAATACAAAATATTTGCTATTATAACATAATTTTTGTTTATTTTAGAATTTTGCAAGAAAATAAGTTGATTAATTCATAAAAATAATAATTTTCATTAACTATCTTGAAAATTGATAATAATTTAAATATATTATTCATACAAAGATTTGCTTAATAAGCAAAATAAAAAAGAAAGATAGTTTTATCAAAATCTTAATCTAAAAAAATATATTATAAGTAATTAATAAATAATTAATTAAAAATGAAAAAAATTACTTATCAAGTTATAGTATTTTTACTTACTGAATTTGTTATAATACAATTTATTTTAATTTTTTTATTTGAAATTTTTCTAATATAGTTAAATTTCTTTATAGTCATATTCCTCTATAATTACTCTATTTTGCTTTTCTATTTATATATTGTTACAATAGGTATATAAAAAATCGCAAATTCAAAAACATGAAAATTCCAAAAATATTCATATAATGATAAAATCTCCTAGTATTATTTCACTTTTCATTATTTTACTTTTTATTATTTTACTTTTTATTTTTTACTTTTATTTTTCACTTTTCAAAAATTTCACTTTTTATTTTTCACTTTTTAGAAAATTCACTTTCTATTTTTCACTTTTATATATATTATTTCACTTTTTTGATTTTTCACTTTTTATTTTTCACTTTTATTTTTCACTTTTTAATTATTTCACTTTTTATTTTCACTTTTA